TTTTTTTTTTTTTTTTTTTTTTACTATTTTTTAGTTCCACAGTTATGTAAGCTTGGGGCACCTTAAAATTAGTAATTTTATTTCATTTCTACACCAGGATAATACAGCTTTTATTACTTCCTGCCTCAGTATTTCTGTCATATCCTATCACACTAATGAATAGTGCATAACAGTAATTAAATCGCTATAATGGCAAGAGGCGAGTAGCAGGCCAGAGGCAGAGAGCGTGACTTGCTCAGGCACAGAGCACTGGGTAAATTCACTTTCACCTGGGGGAGTGTTCTTTCTGAAAGGGTGTTGGGCATAGGGGCTGTCTGTTACCCAAGATCCTTCCCCTCTACAGCACTGGTGAGGTCAGAGTTGAAGTCCCGTGATCAGTTCTGGCCTCCTCAGCACAAGACATGCATTTACTGGTAGAAGACCAGCAAAAGGACACTTAAGGGACGCAGTATTGCTCATATGAGGAGAGGCTGAGACAGTTGGTATTGGCTTCCCTGGAAAAGAGAAGGTTCAAAGGATCTTAGTGTTTATATATATATTAAGTGAATGTGTCAAGAGGATAGTGCCAGACTCTTCTCAGTGGTGCACAGTTACAGGACAAGAGTCAGTGGGCACAAACTGAAGCTCAGAAAATTTCACTTGAACAAAAGAAAACACTTCACTTTGAGGGTGGTTGAACACTGGGAGAGATTGTCCAGAGAGTCTGGGGAGACTCCATTCTTGGACATAGTCAAATCCATCTGAACGGGGTCCTGCGCAACATGCTTGAGGTGATCTTGCTTGAGCAGAGGGATTGAATCATGTTATCTCCAGAGGTTCCTTCCAACCCCAAATAGCCTATAACCCCAGAGGGCTGCACTGCCATCCAGAGGGACCTGGACASACTGGACAACRGAGTGGTGAGAAATGTTATGAAATTCAACAAAGGCAAGTGCAAGGTCCGACACCAGAGGAGGAAACCCCCAGACACCAGTACAGGCTGGGGACTGACCTTCAAGAGCAGCCCTGCAGAGAGGGACCTGGGCGTCATGGTGGATGACAAGCTGACCATGAGGCAGCAGTGTGCCAAGTGTGGCCAAGAAGGCCAATGGGATTCTGGGGTACATTAAGAAGAGCACCTCCAGCAGGTCAAGGGAGGTGATCGTCCCCCTTTGCTCAGCCCTGGTGAGAAAAGCCCAGTTCTGGGCTCTCTAGTACAAGAGGGATGTGCAGCTACTGGAGAGAGTCCAGTGAAGGGCTACAAGGATGATTASGAGCCTGGAGCATCTGTCCTATGAGTAAAGCAGAGAGAGCTGGACCTGTTCACCCTGAAGAAAAGAAGGCTGAGGGGGGATCTGATCAGTGTGTAAAAATAAGACTTCAACAGGCAATAATCTTGGGAACATTACACCACRGAAGAAGTCTCCATGTGTAGTCCTGTAGGCAAGAAAACACCACAAATGGTAACCCCACCTGATGTCCTACCTGTCTGGCTCCTACAGCRACAGATGAATTGGAATGCAGACACAAAGTGAATCATGGATGGTTGGAAAAAGCCACAAGCTGTACACATAACCAGTGTGAGTCTGGTTACTGCCTGATAACCTGCAGGACAAGTACCCRTACAGGTTACAATACTGAATAGACATTCTGGCAGCACTGGATTCTGGTGCATGGAGTATCTGCAAAGCACAGATTCTTATAAGCAGTTGTCAGAAATGGTAAAGGAGATTTGTCTCTCTCTCAGTACAGGGACTCTTATGGGTCGCTTGAGGTTCTTGCTGGCGCTACGCAATTAATTTTGAGGAAATTCTACAAACAGCTCTGAARCTGTAGGAGGGAAACTGGGGAGGGGAGAGCAGGAAGAAAACTGGTGTACACTGCCTGCAGTKGTCGGTGTGGTTGCAGCACCAGTGTTCATGACTAGTTTTCCTTCTCCTAAGAAAGCTGACCTTAGGCYTAAGGAATCCTTCTTTGGTAACTAAACATGGAAGTACTTTGCTAGGCAGCAGCTAAATATATTAAGGAAAACATGACACCCTGTGTTGTAGGGCTGCTTTTTAGAGACACTATCTTTACGTGTGAAACCGAGAAAGCTGCATTGATGCCAGTGATATCTGGGCACCAAAGAAGGGAAAAAAAAAACCCTCCTCTTTCTTTTTTTTTCCCCCAATTTTCTCCAAAGAAACAGGTGATGCATTCTCACAAGACAAAATCTTTGTTTCCATACCTTGCAAGGAAGCTAAAGAATGTCCTTTGTTCTGAAATGAGTATTTCTTTAAATGCTAGATGAATCTTTTTCATAGTGCAGCGCAATGGAAAWGTTTTCCTTCTGRTGTGTGCCGAAACAATATTTCTCATCTGCTCATTTTTTGCCTCCTGACCTGCAAAGATTACATAGTCACATAGTGCAGAAAGAGATAAACTAGACAGCATTCAAGAACATCCTGCCTCAGTCACTATAATCCAGGGCACTTGCCCTGGCCCTGCTTAGTTTACGGGCTTCAACACAAGCAAAGGGTCCTGATAACCCTGAACAAAGCAAATGAGACAGTGAGGAGTGACACACAAGATTTCCCAACTGGGAAGCAAAAAGTAATGGAGGCAGCAGCCAGATTAATTCAGTAAGCTCTGTTTTACCAGGAGAAAAAAAAAAAATGTCATTCTCCTTGATGTAAAAGCAATGGA